TCGTCGTGGTTGCGCTTGGCCATGGCGGCCCGGCGAGGGAGAAGGATCTTGAATTCCGAACCTGAACAGCTGCAACAATATCCATAGTATTATTCAGGGGACAATCATATGCGAGCACATTGTGGGCCTCAACTAGGCTTCTGACATACGCCGCGAAAGCATTTATACAGTCACCATTCGTCTGTGCTGAACCCCTAAAAAGCACACGCAAGCTGCAACACAATGCGATTCTGCGGGAGCTCACATGAACAGTTTGCTCATGAGGTTTGCAAAAGCACGTAGCTCAATCGCAACGATTCGAGCCGTGGCAACGGATGAGACGTTGTCATCCGCGACCCGGCTCTATGCTTGGTTAGCATGACATTCACGCTAACTCACGTCGCACAGAAGCGGGTTGTGCCCTCTTCCTGGCAAAGGCAAAACAATCCCGTCTTCTATGTCCAGCTGCCTTCATGGCATTTCTCACGAAGGCTGGCCTCCTGCTTGTACCAGCCACATCTCACATCTTGACTCATGCCGCAGTGCAATGTCTAGGCCAGCCAGCTGCATATGAGGAAAATATACGTTACAGGCACGCCGGCCCCTCTTGAACTGCAAGCCTCCGCATCCTCCGACTTACTCTTCCCTAAATTCTTGATATGGCCAGAGCCAGAGTTGTTCCGGAAGGCCCGAGCGCGCCTACCCTACGACCAATAGGTGGAGGAGTTTCGGTCTGGGGGAAGAAAACCCGGACCACGCGAAAAGATTCATAGGCAAAACATATTGTCATCGTCCCCCATCCGGCACTGGTCCTCAAAGCCTCTTTGGGCTGAAGTCGGATGCTCTGAAGCGATCGAGCAACGGGTCATTGTCAATGTCATTGGCTGGTGACAATGGTTTTTCCAGGAAAGTAATGGTAGTGACTTAGCATGTCTCTCTTGCCAAAATCACCACGGAACCATTGTCAGAATCATCTACGGCGACCATACTCCTATGGCATCAGGATGTTCAGCACAGCCTGGCGGCTCTCTTTAAGGAGCGGTGGCCAGGAGACTAGCGGAATCTGACCATGTCATACCGAGATGTACATCTGCTGATACCATCGCTCGCTATGAAGAGTCCACGTTTCTTTGGGGGTTTTCTGGCTGTCTGGGTTCTTCATGGTTTTTGGTCCGGAAAGTTAGGGCGCCGACCTTGGGCTGCGCAAAGTCTCCATCGCCCGCATACGCGGGGCCTCGCGTGGAACGCTTGACATCAAGCTGCAAGAGCCGGCCAAGGGCAATCCGCGTAGCCAAATACCCACACGCAGACATTGCTGTGGCTTTCATCATCGTGGGCATGCTACTCCTTGCCTTCTGGAGATTCAATAAGGGTACAGAAATCATCAACAACCAAAACGATAAGATTCTGATCGTCTGCAGCTTCTTCCTCCTTGGCTTGCTGCGACTGGGTTGCCCATTTCTGTTTTTGTTGCGTCTGTCCATCTGCTGCTTCGAGCTTGGTGCTGGCCACAACCTGATTCAGCGGCTCCTTGCAAGTTGCTGGGCTGTGGCCGCGGCCTGCCGCAGCTGTAGTAGCTGCTGTGGAAGTTGCTGGGACAGCTGCTGCAGGATTTGAAGTCTTATTGAACATGTTGAAATGGCTGTTGAAGCTGTAGGCCCGATGGAGGTATCTGAGCTAGTAATGTATACAGTGACAGGAGTTGCGGCCGATGTGGTGCCTGGAGTTCACGTCGCACTTCAGGGTGAGGTTCTGCTTTGAAGTGCGACAACACGCCCTGTTTGTTGCGGTGCTGTTGCAGCGGGTATCGAGCAGAAGCCTACACATCAAGCTGTGTGGTGGACAGCTTTGCACGTGCTGCTGACAGCTGTGCTTGCATCTTATGTAGCCTGATCGCTACACCTCAACCATGTTGCAAGACTTGTTTGCCGAGACAACGCAGACACACACTCCCCAAGTCTTTCCGAATGAGCCCGCAGCATTCGGAGAGAAGGTGCCCGGAGAGCGAGTCTGATACCTGCCGTCTATTCTCCCAGCGCTGAAGAGTGATCGTGGCCCATCTATCAAGGGATTGATGAGATGGTTGCATGCAGCTTTTGGCAACGCTAGCTGTAGAAAATGTTCATTCTACTCTTAAGCCACATGCCTGTCAAGTTGGGCGAGTTGCCCCAGAATAAAGACTGGCATGGTCAAAACATATACAAGAAATTTCAGATCACCAAAGGCAATCCGAAAGTGACAACTCCACCGATTTCAGGAGTTGCGCCAAGCCAAACTGAAAGCAGGGATGGCATGTGCTCTTCATGAGGTCACATCCCATATCAGTTTGTGCACTGACTACGCTTTGGCATGTCCGTCGGGTGCTTGCTGCACAGGATGGTCCAACTAGCCACACTCAGCTTGAGCCTGTTTCCACTCTCGTTTTCAAATGTGTTCGAGAATGCGATGTGGATTCCAATGATCTCACTGGCCTATAAACGTAAACAATAATGTCGCTTCTCCCTTCTCATCACTTCTTGTCTGCCTTCTCGAGG